AAACCAACAAAATATAATTGCTTAGTGTGATGTGCGCGACTTCTCGATCTCCCTGTATTTGATTTTAAATGTCGTTGCTAAAGAACAGTTCAGTCCTTCACAACACACTTGGTTCAGTCTACTTCAATTTGAATACACTCTTAAACGTGTCAAAAAAATAACCAGAGAGAAAGATTCGTAATGATGTACGTGCAATTTTCCCCCCCCCAGACACTCTTTAATACGCAGTTTATTTCTCAACATAACATCACTGTAAACATTTAATTCAACGGACACGTAAATTGATTCACTAAAGACAATTCGTAAATAAGTACCGGTCCCCTCAATTGGTCTCCAAATATTTACCTTGATTCTGATAAACAAAACTGCTCATTAAATGCACATTATCACTTACCCCTTTCAGTGATGTGGCAATGATATTTATTCATCTTTAATTCAATTAATGGTGCAAACAATAGCTCGGTACAGTCCAGTAATAGGGAGATTAGCGAAAGGGCGGAGTCATGGCGTAACTGGACATACTGTCACGGCATGTTTCGACGGACAGTCTGCATATCCGATCTCCGGGCCAAGACTAGAACCTGCGACCTCTGTATGATATCCACTCGGCAACAATGATCAGTGTCAGTGCTCATTTCATTTCATTCGTCAGTGGCTCTACAGCCCTTTGTTGGGCCCTGGCCTCTCCTTCATTTTCGTAATCTTATTTTTTTTTGGCACAGACGGTAGGACTCCTTGGACGAGTGATCAAACCGTCGCAAGGCCGGTACCTAAACACAAACACAGAATAAACACACACACCGAACATTCATGCCTTGAGTGGGATTCGAACCCACGATCCAAGCGTTCGAACGCGTGAAGACAATTCTTGCCTTAGACAGTGCGGCCACTGTGATCAGCCATCTCTTAGTTACCACGACGAATAAAGTATTCCTGGGAGCAAGCTATTCATTTCGGCGCGTATGCAATTATTTTCAACAAGAGCCGAGATGGCGCATTCGGTATGGTGACTAGCTACGGGCTCGATGACCGAGGGGTCGGAGTTCGAGTCCCGGTAGGGTCAAGAATTTTCTCTTCTCCACGTCGTCCAGACCGGCTTTGCGGTTCACCCAACGGGCAATGGGTAGTGGGGACGCATGCCTAGGGGGTTAAGTGGTCGGTGAGTGAAGCTGACTTCTCACCTCCAACTAGTGCCGAGGTGAAGAAAATGTGGATCTATAGTACATCCACTCCCCATACGTGTTCATGACGTACCTTTTACCTTGCCAGATACAAAGAGACTATCTAAGCCCTTGGACACAATCCTTACTTTGAAATCAATGTTCGTGAAATAATGAATCTGAGGTTGAAGGCAGTATGAACATTCCCCAAAATGTGCGGGAACCTCTATCGGAGTCCGCTCCCCCATTTGTAACCACTTCGTCTTTTCTCCTCGCGAACAGCGATCCTGTGCAGTTCTGTCACATGAACACCAGCAGGCACAGTTTGTGTTGGTCAGTCCATATTTGGATTTTCTTCTATTATTGCTAGTGGGGTGGGACTAAGTCCCTTGTACTGCGGCCACTTCTGGCCTACTGTACCAATATTTGGATTTAGAGTAATCCAGAAGTCCTCTATATTACTCATGCTTGCTAAAAGGTTACTAAAGTTGTCTCTGTGCTTAGCTAATTACGCACTACGTCATAAAGGCATATGGGGGAGTAGATGTACAGATTCTCTTGTTCTTGATCTGGTGAGTGGTAAGTTTCACGCCGTGGCCGCTTTACTTCCGGGGAAAGAGCTCCCGGTACCCTTTAGATAGGAGGTTGGGTGGGCCCCAGAACCGGTCTGGGCGCTGTGAAGAAAATTCTTGACCTTACCAGGAGTCTATTTTCTTTATTGCGAGTGGGGTGGGACTAAGTCCCTTGTACTGTGGCCACTTCTGGCCTACTGTAACAGTCCCAGATGATAGGTGAGGGTGATTGTGGAGCAATTGGTGAAATAAAGATTGGCAGGGGAAACCGAATTACTCGGAGAAAACGTGCCCCAGCGCCACTTTGTCCACCACAAATCCAACCTGACCAGACCCGGGATCGAACCCGGGAAGCCAGCGACTAACGGCTTGAGCTATGGCGCGGCCCTACCAGGAGTCTAACTCTGGTCCCTCTGCCGTCAAAGCCCGTAGCCAGTCGGTCAACAGGTCAGTACCCAGTGTAACAACATAATGAAACACACTGACTATAGACAATATCAGGACTACAACACAGCTGTTAGACTTGAAGTCCTCAAGACGGGTGACAATGAAGATCAATACTGTCTGGAATGTTGTGCCCTACAGTCTGGTAGATGGTATGGAGAACCAAGAATGACGTAGAGAAGAACACAAGGATATGAGGAGGAGAAAGGCCAGGACGAAAGCTCTGAGTGGACCAACAGGAAGTGGAAGGAAATCAGTAGAAATACGGTAAGGGGCGGCAGCTCGACTCTTCTGAATAACGTGTCATATCCATTTTCAGGCCAAAGAACAAGCCAAGCAAGAAATCTGCCTGAAACAGTACCAAATTCTGCTTGAAGTTGGAGGCGACATGTTACTCCGAAACGTCGGTTGACGTTCATCGGACTACATGGCGTTATATCTCAGAAGACAGACCTCTTCATAACCACCACTATGAGAACCTCGAATCCTATGAACAGTGGTCTGTTTCAAGGATATACACTAAGCGGGGGAAAAGCTTCCTTCAGGATGACCACGTGCGCACACTGCCCATTTTGCCCTGTTTGTATGCTGAATGATCAAAAACTTCGTATCTCGCATCCTTGTGTCGAATTGTGGGCCTACCTCAGGGCCATGGGCCCTCAGTGCATGGACTTAACTCGCAACCCAGTTCATGTTATAATTGGTCTTAGGGCGATGCCACATAAAGGAAACTGGCAACCGCAACGCAACCGCAAATTCCGAGAAATGTTGCCGATTTCAAGCAGCCAACTGGTTTCCAGATTAGCAGGAGAACACTGAGGCAACTTACATTTGATTAGCTGCTTACATCAACTTCACTGGTTCTGTTCGTCCGACGTAATGCATTTTTTAATTTCGTGCACTTATCTTCTGCACTGGAAGATGATAATACTGACCCTGTCATAATGTGGCGGTAGTTGAGACCGGTTGAGACGGCGTGAGAAGAGAGGACGACGACCATAAGGAAAATATTGGGATGTTAATTAATTTGTTTTAATTAAGCTCAATTTATTTTAATCAGAAAATATTGTGTTCACACGCGATACGAAATTTTGACATACAGTGCAAGAATTTTAGCAAGACAGAAGACACCTGATGATGGCCGTATACAACCGAGCCATGTAATATGGAAGAAGGCTGACTATATAACACGTTGCATTTAAGACGGAAAAATAAGTGAAATAAATGATATAGTAATGCAACAGGACAATTTAAACTAAGGCGCTTATATTGTTTCGAAAGATCTTAACCGGGACCCAGGCTCCTTCGTCTCATGTGAAATTCCTTCCCAAGCCAAATCTACTTTGTCCTGTCTAGCATAATCTGGGTGGCGTTTGTCATATATACCATGCTCTTGTTCAATCAACTGCACAAAAACAAAATCAGCAACTTCGTCAACCTTTTGTGCCATATTAGGAGACAAATGAATCACTGCAGCGCGTTACAGAACAGCTGACACTAGGAAACCACGCGGCAACGCAACTGTGAGAAGACTGGCATGCTCCGTTGCCTTGAAGTTGAGTTTCTCAGCCTTCCCACGAGTTGCGTTGCCGTTTCCTCAATTTGCGCTACTCCATTATAGTAACATGTGTTCAACTAAGGCTGATAACAATTCTCGGAAACTGCGGTTGCGTTGCGATTGCCAGTTTCCTTGGCATGCCCTTGCCCTTAGACATCTTTGAGGAAACGTCCTGTTCGTTCAACGGTATGGCGATTTTGGTTCCACTGTTGGCTGAAAACAGAATCTGGTAACCTTCTAATGATGACGTAACGGTCTGACAACGACATACACACAAAGGTTGGGGGGAGTCGGTAAATAGGTCACAAATGGAAGTAAAACGGCTGTAATGGACATAATAGGGTTTCTACGTGTATCACTAGGTAGCAGCACAGTCCAGCTTCGTGACCATTTAGGTACGAGATGCGTATGCGCATGTTCAGAGGCTGGTTTCAGTAGTCAAAATGGCGACCGTGATTGAGTATGTATTACTGAAGAGAAGCGTTCTGTTGTGCGGTATTTTTCGTGGACAAAAGGACCCAATACAAAGGATATTCATAAAGAAACATTTCCTGTTCACGATGTTAAGTGTTTGTTGTGTAAAGCAGTTCAGAGCCGGGTCGAAAAATTCTCTCAAGGACGTCAGAAAGTCGCAGATGGTGCCCGGCCCGGTGCGGAAGTGGCTGAGACAACAGGAAAAAGACTTGTACACTCCGGGTTTCGACGCACTGGTAAAGCGATGGGACAAGTGTATCAGTGTTGGTGGATGTCGAGAAACAGATGTTTTTTTGCAGGTTCAAATATCAAATATTTTACGTTTTATAGCAATTTCTCACCTATTTACCGACTCTCCCTCGTATTTTAGGGCACATAATGCTAATAATACTCGGGATTACTGGGTTTTGGGACTTTGTCCACCATCCGGTATTCTAAAGAACACGACGTTTCGGAAACTGGATCTGTTTCCGTCCTCATGCAAGGCGGTGAGAGAGACCTACTCTGGTGAGTCTATCAATCACCGGATCTGGGGTGAGCTCTTTCTAACGGATCCAACAGAGGTGTCTCCACGCCGTCACCTGAGGACGAAACAGATCCAGTTTCCGAAACGTCATGTTCTTCAGAATACCGGACGATTGATGAAGTCCAAAAAGCCAGTAATGCCGACTGCCATACACCATCGTCAGAACTGTCAAACTGCAGGAGCTGGCGCTCTGGGGGGGTGGGGGTGGCAACAGCACGTCAACCCATTGCACGGTGCAATGTGGTGATGACACGCGGACTACTTACCCAACCCTGTAGTCGACGCAAGAGGGCGGTGGATTCCATACAGCACTATGGCACAGCAACCAGTCGCACCAAACCTAAAACAAACATTTCGTTAGGATCATCACCACACACATCTATCTGGGCTGCCACATACAATATTGAAATGAAATATTAATACAGGTAACCAGGCACGCACAAATTTCCTATAAATCTACTATCCACCTACACAACTTAGGAACCAAACAAAAAATATGACCACAATTCTGTCACACTCGGGAAAAATCCACGTGCTGTTCTGGGATACGGGGAGGGGGGAAACTTATACTAAACTCCGTCTAAAGTATCTGCAAACGTGTCTCATCCTTGAGTAGGTAACTCTTATGGAAGAAAAACGACGTAAGTATCTACGCCACTCTCGCAAAACAAGGCACCCTCTGGCACTTGTCTTCACGTCGGCGTCTCGGCCATGAAGATGGACGCAACATGTTATATCTCAGAACTCTCGAAAAGCATAACTCACACATCCCTTAAAGATATTTTCGACACACTATACTTATCTTCTGCCGATGCTAGGATACAACGCGATGAATTGTGACAGGGTGAACAAATAAAAGGGATGGCAAAAAATAAGGTAAAAATAATGAGGAGTTCAAGGAATAGACGAAGATAACAGAAGGAAAGGAACTCTTTTAACCTGAAGCAAAGCGAGAAAGGAAAATGGAGAGGAATGACTACATGACGAACAAATAGAAGAGACGGAAACCAATAGAGGAGGAGGGAAGGGGACAAAATAAGAAAATGATAAAGGAAACGAAGAAGTGAATTATTTTTCCCAGTAGGCAGGAAGAAAATACTAAGCGGCTTAATGAATATGATAGGCGACCTGTCGCCCGAGATTTGTGCAAATAACACTCGACACTGCGCCATTGCAGAAATGAGGGGAATATGAACACAGAGTAAGGCGTCGTTTACGACGAAGCGTCAAATACATTCTTTCAGGCAAGTGAACTACAATAAGAAGACTTCAAGCATCTGCAGATATTCATCTCGGGTTTTACCAGTGGGTTGAGGCACTACACTGCAAGCTGGAAGCTCATGGGTTCGATTCCCGATGACGTCATCGGATTTATCAACTGACCTAATCCTTCCAGCTGCACAGCCTCTAACAGAAATGAGTATCAGGAATCTTCCTGGGGGGTTAAAGGGCGGCTGTGTAGAAAATGTGGGAGTCTCACGGTCCTATGGGTCTCCATGGCCTGCTACAGGGACAGATTTGCCATTTTCTTTCACCAAATACGGAAGGTCTCAGTACTGATGAGTTCCTGGACTCTGTGCATAGAACAATGTCCTGAATGAACACAAGAAATTGGATGTTTTCGTTGTCCGGTGAAATGTTTGGGAGACATCCACTCAGGTTCGTTACAAAGACCTAACCGCAATCGCGGACACTCCATCCTTCCACCTGAGGTCGGAAACAGATTCCATTTCCGAAACGTTGTGTTCTGACAGAGTAACAGACGATGAAAGAAGTCAAGCAACAGAGTAATACTGAGCAGTAGATCTATTTCGTTTTACGTCTCTGGGAAAACCGAGATTAATGGCCGTGAGGAATCGTTGCGCTGACCACGTGACACCCTCTATCCACAAAAGTTGGCACTAACTTCGCCGACACGCGGCGGTCGCTCGGTCGGTATAGTTCGTTTGCGGACTAAAGGTCACGGAGTCTATGGGAAGTTTGTGCACACAAGGGGGTGACGCGAGAAGATGGTAACCACAATCCTCGTCAATGTCATCAATATCGTGGTCATCATCGCCATGAACCTGAGCCACAAGTACTCTGATGTCTTATATGCAAATATAAAATCCGATGGAAGATTTGTCTCTCAGAGAATTTAGATATGCCCAAGGGCCCAAACTTTTATCAAAAGATTGGAAAATTGTACCAAAAGCGGAAAAGACCAATAAAATATGACGAACAGTTCTTCCAGAACATGACTCCGTGTAGTATGGTAGAAGTTTACTGACATATCGTCGGAACTTATTGCTTCCATGTTCATGGTAAAGAAAGAAACTTACTCATTTGCTGACACTCCGTATGGAGGCAATATCTTCCTCGGAAATGTCGGCAAAATCCCAGGAAACTACACGGCCTCACATCCCAGAGGGCAGCACCATTCGCAGCCACCGCATTCATAACCGATACACCCAGGAGCCGAACCGGGGAGTGCAGATGTGGCGGAAACAGACCGCAAGGTAGCAATAATTTAACCACGCTTCAACCCATGGAGAGCGTTCAGTAGCTCAGGTTATGTATGGTCGAATAGCTGGGAAATATATTGAAGCACGAGATCATAATCTAATTCGCGGTATTACCCTCGCACTGGAGGGACTGAGAAAACAACTAAAGATCATATTCATGATGACCGAGAACGGGAAAACGTAACGCGTAAGAATGAAGCAGGCTATTACGTGAACCAAAGCCCAGAGTGAACATTAGCAGTCCGAGTAATATAAGTTAGTATGTATGTATATGTATGTGTATATATATATATATATATATATATATATATATATATATATATAT